GGAAACATAGAACTAGCAATAAAAAGCAAATATGTGCATCCGTTCCCCTTATTTTAATCTATTATAATGGTTGTTCCGTATTAGTTGCACTGCGCTAGATTCGACCGAAGCCATTGCACTAGTAAATATGCTACTGAAATATTTAGTTTCATGTCGTCAAAACGTGCATGTTTTATGCATCAGTCAAATGGTGTTGTTGTTTTTATTTGCCATTCTGCCATCCCTCAAATGAAACGAAACCAGCTCGCAGACATGCGTTATGTTTCCAATTCGAATAAACACGTGAATATTTGGTTACAATGTGCACTTCTGCATCCAACTATCGCTAATGAATGTAGAACACAAAACAAAAAGCAAAAGAAACATGATACACATAGAAAAAGTAAGACATTTTTTTTTGCATAACCAAATGCAAACGGATCATGGTTTTTTATTCAATTGTTGTTGTTGTTGTTGTTTCTCCATTCCGTTTCTTTGATTTACAGTCAGCATACGGCTATGTGTGGTGAGTGTTTATGCATCATGTTTGTATTGTCAATTGACCTATAAAAATGTTTACCTTCATAACTCACTTTCATCAATTACAAAACGAGTCTGACAGCACAACCGCTGGAAAATACAACCAAATTGAACGTAGGAAAAATGGCTCATTGCGGATTCAATTTATCAGGTATAATAAAACAGATCGGAAAATGCAGTTCATTGTTGTTTGGACTAGTTACAATGTATCTCGTGGCTATTGTCTGAATAAATGAACAGTGACGCCGCCGCCGGTGCGATAGCTATCACCCAAAAGCCATAGAGTTGCTTCTCCTACTAAAGTTTTCACTGAAAATTGTGCATATCTTTTGTTTGCCAATTGTAATTAACCATTGTTTCACGTGTAGAAGTGCTCGAATGTGTGTTAGCTTTGCTCCAACCTATGGAATGTGTCGACAATTGCGTTCTATCATGTCGAACAAAAATACATGTCGGTATTTATTCCAATCCTTTTATTCAAATGCCTGTTAGACTTTGTGCTTACATGGCAAAAAAAGGTAGAAAAAGAATCGGCATTAACTTTTTGTTGTCGTGCGAGAGCTCCGTCTAAGGCAAACTACATGCTACTAGCGCCACACTGAAATACATTTGATTTGCATTGTACACGTAAGCGGTGGGAGTTTGAACTATCAAATTACAACAACAAATTACACAGATAGGCGCATCCCTCGTTGTCGTGTCAAATTGAGATCGCAGAAATGGATTCATACAGAAACCAATCTAAAAATATAGAATTCAACTGTCATATTTTTATTCTCGGTCCAGTGAGCTGAATTCCCGCCGTAAAACCTCGACCCATTAATGGAAAAAGTATACACATGACTCAGATCCAATGTCGCATAGAAAATACATGCAAATGAGAACAGATGAGTGAACTTTGATTGGAGTTCTGCCCCTTGAAAAATCAAGTGAAAGTAAAATGAAAAAAAAAACGTAGACACATGTCGTCTGCATATGCATGAGCGGGAAAAAAATCGAATCAAAACAATCACTCTCAGGTACTCGAATCACAAGCAGTTTAATGGACTCCCTTTTTGAATGGAAGATACTCTCATATTCAACGAAAATAGATGAAAATCAACTCAACCGGAATATTAACCGATGGCTTATAAGCGAATGCATTGTTGCCAACGAAAACATGAGGACGACAGTCGCTGTCACTGCAGCAGACGAACACGAAAAAGCGCTTGAATGATAGCTTTATAATGAATATAAATCTTTTCAGACGAATTAGAGAATATGAACCACTCACTCTGCTAGTATTTTGTACACTGGTTTAAGTGTTACAGTGTTCTGACACACATACACACATCATTGTGATGCGTCTGTGAAATATTTTCGGGGGGAAAAATTCGCTTATATTCATGTCATGCTGTTCGTTTACATTAACGATATTGTTGGCTCATAAAACATGCGTTGGGCACATTCATTTTAATGTGTGTACAACGGCCCGTAATGGAAACTTGATTGCGTTGATATTGTGGCTAAACTAAAAGTTGATGAAAATCTCAAATCGATTTTAATGTGCCTAATGCGTATGTGCCTATTCATAGACGAAAAAAAAACTTTCTACTCGCGTATGCTGGTTTCATTTCCGCTTTTTTCTATGGATAAGGAGAAAAATGCGGCCGATTCCATCCCTGCTTCCACTAACACCAGCAGCGGGCAAACGTGGAATATTTGATTGTGAGTTAAAGAGAACAATTTTTGCGTATTAAAAGGTTAAATGCAATAATGAGCAATTTCAACGCCATTCCTAAACGAACGGTATTTGCAAGTCTTCCAAAGCATGTTTTGTATAATGAGCGATACACACATGAAAAAAAGGAGGCCGAGAGAAAAGAAAAAGTGGGAACAGTTTAGCATAAGACGAAATGTATATATTGAACTAATTTTCGCACGCACAGTACGCTGTCCGCTGTAGACAGCATTCACGAACATGCTTTTCGCCGTAGGATAAACAACGATTTATTCATTATCGTTAGATTTTCTGTTATCGCCGTTGTATTTAGCATGCGATCCAAACAAGAGTTTCCCTTTTTGCATCAAACATGCAGCCATTCTCGCGCTCATTTAAGCATCCACATAATTGGCCCAAAACCACCAAAACAAATGAAACCAACAACTTATAAATTACAACACTAAAAGGCTTTTTGATATTTAAAACACACATTTATGAATCCTTGTGGGGTCACCAGTGAAACTGAGCCTAGCACTGCTCATCAAATGAATGCCAGCAAATTGTTTGCGCCGACAAGAGAAAATTAACACGATGACGTGCACAAAACATTCACTCTGTTTACCGTTGGAATGATGGAAAAAGCACACGTTGTGTTCAACGGCAAACAAAGTGGTTACCGAAATAATAGACGGACTTTTTTCAACGAAATTCCAACCAGAACAAAAATATCCTACACAAACAAATGCATTTATACATATGCGAAAAACCAACGATCAATCTAAAGTGGTGTTGAAACGAAAACCGTATTGAACAAAAAGAAATCCGACTCGAATTTCATTTCGAGTTTTTTTTTTGTTTTTGTATTTAGTAATCCATCTGTTTCCATCCATCTAGAGTGAACACGAAAAAAAACCATAGAAAAGAAATGTTCAAAAAATTCAAAATACGGGATACAGGCAGTTAACACAATGACGAAAAACAATCGTACGGGTTTCATTGTCTTTTTTGATGAATATGAAGTCATTTCGAGCGAAGCACATGCAAATATGGTATAATACAATGGCACGAATTTCGTTAGCATTTGACGTACAAATGCAGCAGTATTACAGAGACACCCATAGTAATAATGAACGTTGACAAAATTTCTTGTGAATGTTGAATTTTCTTCTTTGGTATCACTTGTCAGAGAGAATATGTGGCCCACATTTGCATCGCAACCGAAAAGATGAGCCGTCTGCATGACACCAGAATAAATGATAACCAATAGCATAAAGTAACATTAAAGGCGTCAGTTGTTTGTTAAAAAGCCTCATCCTATAAATCGTACCGACAAAACTGTCATCCCACAAACTGACACAATTCGTGTGTGGTTGGAAAAGGATACAAAGTGAAAGTTAGTGTAGAAGAAAAAAGGAGAGTGAGATATGGAATTTCACTACTTGAACATTCGAGCAAATGGCAAAATGAATATTTATTCGCGCGCACATTGTGACTTAACAAAACATGAAGATACATTAAATATTTAACCTTAAAAGCACTCGAGCTGCGAATTTCACTCTTTTGTTTGATTAAGAGTGTCTCTCTCTCTCTCTCTATCCCTCTCCGTTGCTGTGTGTGTCGAGAGCAAAGCCAGCTGAAAATTTCACATGGACGTCAGAGCTCGTTGAATTCAGATGGTGCACACGTGCTCGATGCCAAATTCATATCAATTCCTATTTACTAATTTAATTATGAGACTTGAAAATTCGTTGAAAAATTCAAGCACTTCATTCACTGACAGTGGAAGAAAGATACGCAAAATGAAACGAAAACGAAAATGTTCAGCCAAACTGAATTTCTTGCGCAACGACAAAAGTTTTTCTCCTTCGCTTGGTACATACGAGATGTCAAACAGTTTAATGGAACGACATTCACCCGAAAATTCAACGCACACTTACTTTTTCACAGTTCAATTGCTCTATTTTATGGCAATGAAGCAAAACAACTCTGAAAAAAGTCATATGATTACACAATGCAATGACTTTTCGCTGAAAAAAAAAAAACAGAATACAAGTTTGTGTATCTTCGAACCAACTTTTGTACCTTTTTCATTTTCTCTGTTTCCATTTGGCTTTAAAATGCCATTTCGAATTGTTTTCATTGAATTGAGTCCTTGTAACATGAATGCATCCACTTGATTCCATTTTGTCGATAAACGGATGAGACATTCAATAATGATGTGCGCTACGAAATACTCATCACGATACTTTTCAAACGCTTCGCTTACCCGAACAATGCTTTTCAATGCAAACAAGTTTTACACTAAAGTGTTGCGTATATTGGATATAATTTGAATTCGTTGTGAGACTGTGTGTGATACTGAAAATTCGCAGCTGAATCGATGAATTTGTGTTCGAATTGGAGTATCGCTTTTGGCATGGTAATTGAAAACTTTTCGCGGAACACAACAACGTTGGGTTTTGCATTGAACCAACAAGTAATCAAGAACATTGATTATGATGAAATTCTATCGTTGAACATGGAACGTAATTTAAGTGCATTTGATGCAAAATCTTTTGATGAAATGCACTTTTCGAGAGCTAATAACAAAAGATAACAATTTGCTCTTGCACGAACTTCAGCGAAAGTTGATTTTCCGCAAGTAGTTGACAAAAAGTATTGTCATAAATAACGCGAAATAGTATGCCGTTTGAAAATGAAATAAACTAATGAAATAACAAAGAACATTCCAATTATTAACGATATACATTTGTTGTTTCTTCTACATTTTCGTTTGCAGAATGAGATAAAGAAAATGTCGCTTCAAAATGATGAGGCCGTCGTGTCAGGCTACGGCAGTTCCGATGAAACAGCATCGTTATTGGTATTATCGAAAAATAAGCATACAATTGTTACATCGTCTGCGTCACGTGGCAACTTGGCCAAAATGTCTTCGGTGAATGGGCCCGCCTCAACAAGTGGAACATCAAAGCCGGTATTAACGCGACAAGAATGCACATCTTCCTATTTAATCAGCCCGAACACATCGCAACTGGGTGGTTCGGAAGAAAGCGGTGGCCCCGGAGAGGATGATCAAATTTCACAGCAATCGTCAAGCCATCAGCCACACACATCAATGGCAATGCGGCCATATCGTACATCATTAAGTGTAAATGCAACCTCCGTACCGGATTTAGATGCACAATATCATTTAGAAGCACCTGTTATATCAATATCCACACAATCCTGCCGTAACGGCCATCGTGGCTCCGTTAGTGGCTACCAGCTGAATCCACAAGCTCGATGCCGCACGTGCAGAACATGTGAAAGACGTGCATCAACTACACCCGTCTCCTCCCTTTATTTAGCTCGATCAGTAAGAACCTAAACCCTAAACCAAAACAAACCCAATACAAAAACTTAATCGCTTTTTATCCCATGGGCAAAATTATGGCAACCATTCCAGTGTCATTTGAACTAGCGTTGGGACAATTTCAAATTGCTCTGGAATGTGTTGCTCGCTTTTTTATGAGAACACACCAATTTCTAATCATTGTGTGGCATCATTTTAATTCAGGTGTCAAAAGAAAGTGTTCGTAGTCAAGCACAAGGTTATTTATCGCCACACTCACTTCACGTTCAACAGCACATACCACCAGTTCTGATAACATCATCACCAAATTCCGGATCGCGAATCATTCGGCAAAGTTCACAGCCGGAAGCGAGCAATGTGATTTGTTGTCAACATGCCTGCAGTCATACGACACCATCGTTGCGACAACTACGCGAACCCAGCGAAGGTATTGCTGGCATTGCGGCCGATTCGCTACGCATTAACGGTGCAATGCGACCCTTTCGACAGGTATGCTTTTTCTATTCGTCTTGTTCAGTATTTAATCTTTTGTCGTTGCCTGCCAGTCTGTCGTTGATTTATCTCTTGATTTGTTCCTATTTTTCTTTTGATAAATACCATTCTTCCCTTTATTTTTTTCCATTCAAACATCGATTTACGATACTCATCTTATCCCGTCCTATTAAACGGAATTCATATATATATACATTTGATTTGTTATACTTTTCATTCGATTTGATTAGCTTTGATGAAACCGGTTGCCGGTTAAAATATTTTTGTTTTGGTTTTAAGATTGTTTATGGATTCATAACACCCAAAAATACCAACCAAACATGTATGATCAAATATCAATAACAATATTTGATGAACGATGTTCTTGATAATCCATAATAATATAACAAATTGAATATGTAGAAGTAAATAATAATCAGTAACCAGGTTGATTGTGTGGAATTTTGGAAAATTTGCTACTTACATCATTTAATAACCGTTCGATAACATCATAATATCTAATATCTTAATATTTGTTGTTGATTTTTTTTAACGTAGGTACTTTCTAAATAAACAATCTATATATTTAACTTAACCATATATTTGTATGCATTGGATAATTGAATTGATTGAATCTTTTTTTTCTGCCATTTGTTTAAAAATTGCCACGTACGTTGAATCATTTTAATTTTCTTCTTTTACTTTTCCAAAAATCGTCTTCTAAATCAACTTAAAAACATCTTTGACACTTGCTAGATTGATCAAAATAATTCTTTTTTTGTTTGGTCGACGAAATTCATTCTGTAATCTAGTATCGAACATACGATGATGTGTTTGAAAAGCTTTCATACGCGAGTTTTTCACGAGTCAAAAGCTTTGAACTGAAGCTTATACGTTGTAAGCTTACTTTGAAACCTTACAAAGTTCGCAAGTTTTGCAGTCAGTAGACGTTCACAGGCATCATACTTTATTTCATAGGAATTTTCGCAGCGATTTTTCCAAACCGTTTTGTTGTTGTCCGTTGATAGGACCCACGGCAACATGTGCAACGAAAGCAAATTTTTAGGGAACACCGTATAGGGCTCGATTATAGTTCAACACCGTGAAAGTAGAAAAATTGTTATGAACAGTCCCAATCCGTTGTCATTGTGTCTATACGTGAGTGAATTGAATGTTCTGCGTATTATAAAATGAGGAACCTTGTGTATTGTGGATAACATTTGATTGTGAATGCTAAAACGTAAAAATGGTGCACTTTCCAACCGTATTGACAAATTCAACAAAACTACCACAATCACAACCTGTATGTTAACCCATTTGCAAAGCAAACACAACACAAACCGTCTACGTGTACTTATCTTTTATAAAACTGTTGAACAATGGATGTTAAGAGAAAACAAATTTTTTGTCGATAATTCTGCTATCAAAAACGAAACAGAGCAAAAATGCCCTTAAAAATAAACTGAAAAAGCGCAAAACAATGTATGTAGATGTGTACAGTATGTAAAGTGTAAATATAGAAATCATCCTAGCAAACCGTAACGAACTTGACAATTACATGAAATATAAGCATCAGTTGTTTGCGATTGAAAACTTAAAGAAAACAAAAGCAGCAATGCGAATTTCCCAAAACAATTTATTTCCCATTATTGGCACATTTTTTATACGTTTGATTCCATTGTCGTTCTCTTTCACTTTCTTTCAATTGTTTCAATTTTCGATTTCAAACATCATTTTTTTCCGTCTACGTTGAATTTAATTCACAAACGAAATCACAAACAAGATGAGGCCCTTACAAATGAAGTTCTTTTTGAAATCGAATGAACCAATTTTTTTCTCGTTCGTCATTTTTGTTTTTGTCTTTATTCCTTTATTTTGAGTTGGCGGTTTGGTTGTTACATTTCCTTTCAATTACTCGCCGATATATCTCTCTCTCTCTCTCTCTATCTCTCTCTTCGTATTTGTTTTGATGGTTTTTCCACAAAGTGAGTTTATGTTTCCGTATTATTATTATTATTATTATATTTAGGGAGTTCTACTATGTCCTCAAACTCTATCGCAATCTAGAAGAACACGTCTACGAAGAGCCTTCACCGAGGCCACACAAGATACGGTACAATACGTTAAAACGGTAGTAACTCAGAACCATTCTTTTTTTTACAAATGCAATTTTAGTCCGCATATCAGATCCCAACAATCATAGAATCTTCTTTTTTTCTTGAATCAAATGCATTTTTGTTCATGTTGTTACGTACATAATGCGCATTCATTTCAATGAGAAACGATTTTTTTTTTTTTGGATTTATTTCCTTCTTTCTTTCGGTGCACATATCTCATTTGTTTTTTTTTCGTTCGAATTTTTGGATTTGTTTTTTGAGCTTTTTTGAAAAATGAAACGTGTTTTTTTTTCGGACGATTGTTTAGATCATTAATGAATTTAGTTTGAAATGCATTAGTCTCAATGTGTCCAAAACGCATAAATACGGCACCGCATAAGGCAGTTATCGCATAAATATCGCGCGATAATTTTCTGCTTGCGTTGCCGCAGTATACGATATTTCAATAGCCTTCTTACGACGCACGTTCGAATTGCTTTACACATATAACGAAGCGAACGCAAGCGAGCGTCGCAAGATGATGGCCATTGAAATATCGTATACTACGGCAACTCAAGCAGAAAATTATCGCGCGATATTTATGCGATAACTGCCTTATGCGATGTCGTATTCATGCGTTTTGGACACATTGATTAGTCTCAATTTAATTAAATGTTTTTGATTTACAATTTTTGATTACGGATTTACTTGATCACGTAGTTCTGTACACTTTATCATTTAATATGAATGGTTGTTAACATTTCAAAGGCGAAATTTGAATAAATACACTTTTCATTTCGAATATTTTCAATTCTTCAATTAAAACTCCAATTATTTTTCCCTAAAATTGGCCTCAAAACCATTTTGTCCTTTATCAATAAAAAAAAGGCGAGTTTGTTTTGAACTTTTTTTTGTTGGGTTCTGAAAAGTTTCAAAGTATTTCGGCATCCATACCTCTTACCACTTTTCTGCCGCTATCAGAGTCGAAAGATTAATAATTTCATCTTTGATTGGCATTGTAAAAAGCTGAAATGAATGCGTCAGAATATTGTATGGCCGTAAGTTAGTGCGGTGCACGCAGCGATAAAGATTTTCCGCATTCTTTCGTTCTCAAAATTAAATAATTTTTGCGTTAAGTTGAGTTTGTTTAATTTGTTGTGCTTTAGTTGCCAAAACTTCGAATTGAAATGAAACGGTATTTGCTTGTAGACATATTTATGTGTTTGTTATTAATATTCCCTTCGCAGCGGACGTGTTTTTTTTTTGGACATCTGATATGAATTCAGTGCAACACATTTTCTTCGTATTTTGAAATCCACTTACTTTTTGTATCATTTTAAATGTTAGTTAGCACCGATTCGCGATGAAATGCCAATACACAAAGCTCATGTTTTATTTTAGTTGAAAAACAAAAATCGATACATACTCGCACACGATTGCCGAACAATAACGCCCCCGAAAAAGCAATAGGATACACACCAAAACTTATTAATACACCCATATACAAATACACACACAGCTGAAAGCACGCGAATGCGAAATACCACACTACACATTTCACACACTACGCAAAACTGTGAATGCCCCATAAAAACAACCGGAATGAAGCCATGCTTTTAACTTTGTGAAACAATGTCAGTTATTACATTTCCCGCTCAGCATGAAATTCAGACCAAAACAGATAGATAGTTTCAGTAGAAAGATTTAACCAAACACATTTTCAATTTTCCCTAACTATGGCATATACCCTGATATACTGTTGTTTTTAGTTAAGTACACACTTACACACAATGTTACGTGTTCATGCACTTTTAGTTCCATTTGTTTTTTGTGATGAGTATGCGAATTGAAACACAAACAACACACTCATTCTCATTTGAACGCGTTTACACAAACCCAACCAAACTGCAACTACCTCCAATGAACATATAACATTATATACACTCACATAACATAAACAACAAAAACAGCAACAACTTGAAACTGTTGAATGCTTTTAGTGGCGCTTTGCATAATTCAAAGACCGAAAAGAGCGGCTCGAAATACGAGGCCACTTAATTAATGTATGTATATTGCGTATTTTGTAGATAGATTGTTGCTTTTTAGTGGCGAAAGGTGATTTAAATGTTGAATCCATCATTTTTTCATGCTGCTTCATGTTCTGTTGTTGCCATTTTCACAAGAAAATATTGAAATCGCCTATTGAAATTCGTTCATATATCCATAGAAGTATGTATTTCGCTTAGAAATGCGTGAAAACATTTTGGACCATTTAATTAATAGATTTAGTGTAAAAAGAATCGCTACAACTTTATGCAGAGCATCATTATTGTAAATTGAAAAGGAAATATTGAATCTGATAAGTTGAAGATAGAGACGATATATGCCCAGTTTTTGGCATAGTATGCACCACTTAAAAGTTATTCGCCAGGAAAAATGGTTGCTCAATTATAAATTTGGGACATAAACTATCGAACAGTTTGAAAAGCTACTAAATTCTCTCGCTCTCATAAAGTCTGTAGCACGCATTCTTTTTTAACGGTATAATGAATTGGAACACAGCCAATTAAAAGCTGTGATGTAAAAGAGTTGTGTTAAATGAGAGTGCAATTGGCGCATTTGACAGTTTCGAATCGATTGTATGTGTGCTCAACGTTTACTACGAGAGTGAAAAAATTTGTTGAGACAGCAGCCAACTGACAACCAGACCACTTCTACGACATTAAAATAATCGTTTAGTCGATGATCCACTTTCAGTTTACAAATTTATTTGCCAATATGTAATTCAGTGTCTCTCATCCATGTGGATTTTTGGATGAAGTGTAAGTACGATTTAAACTTGTTTTCATTCATTTAGAACTACATTTTGAAATATATGTCGATGTTAAATTATATTATGGTGACGGCTGGTCCCATGCAAAACTTTTGTAAAGACATTTACAATTCAATAAGTGTCAGCCTTTTTCTTGTGTTTTTTCTCCTCTTCTGTTTGTGGAAGGAATTTTTATGCTGCGTTTGTCACTGAAAAGCATCGAAACCTAAATTTGATATGTAATGAATGGTTCGTCAATATGCAGCATGTTTACATAATCGAAATTTATTCATCTGCATCGTCCGTATCGTATCAATGGAGAGAAAAATGACTTCAAAAGAGCCACAAAATGAGAAATAATTGGGAATCATTTTTTTTTTGGGTAGGGTGGCCTTATTGCGTATCCTTCGTAGCACTTCATTGAACTTTTTTCCGTTGAGGCTTCAAAAAGACCGACGATAATAAAAATGAAACCCAATTTACATTCATGGCATTTGATTTTTTGCGCTATATCTTTTTTTTTTCGTTGTTGTTGTTTGTTTCGTTTTGGCAACTTTGTCTGGCCTTCATGTTCTCTTTGTGGATTTGCCCATATTTCCGGCGAAGACAACGATTTCACATCTTTTGTCAATAATAAAATGATTTGATTTACCATTTCTCAACGAATGAAAGATTTCGTCAAAAGCCAGAAATGAAAGGGGATGAAAATACGAGCGACTAAATGGTTTTGTTACAACATATATTAAATTCAAAATAGAACGCCCAGATTCAAAAAAAAGTATGAGATGGATAGACAACATAAAATAGAAAAAGGGATCGATGCAGGAATCGTCATCTCTAGCATTAAAAGAAATTATAAAACGAAAGGAAAATCGAAATGTACGTGCAAAAGAAATTGCATAACATCTACATGGAACGCGAATACCAATCGCTTTGTTCGGCTTGAAGAAAATTGTAAAAATTTCGTTGGAAAAATGAAATGCGGGCTTACTCGTTCGTTTATTGTAAAATCCTTTTCGAGATTGTGGAATGTCTGGCGATGGAGCAGCTATTTCCGCGGGAAAGATGATAATGAATTTCATATTTACTCTCCGCAAATGTCTTTGTATCGCACTAGCGCTGAATGTGTGCGTATCTCATCTCACCCTAGTTAAGCATTTGATCCGACACGGTCGATAGATCGTTTTGGACACGCGCGCAAAATTCTGTACAAAAGATTTCAAATCGCACCAAATTTATCTTTATTTCCTAAAGGAAATTGCTGACTGAGGGTGAGGGTGCCGAACAATTGATTCATTATGAGGTGGCAATAAGATTACTTTCGTTCGGTTCGCAGACCATTTCATCGATTTATGGAAATGTATTATTAAGAACGTTCTATCGCACTTTCATTTAACTCTCAAACACCGATATATTTCATCGAAATATATTCTGTATGTTAGTGCTAATGTTCGGGCCATTTCGACCATTGTAATGACCGAGAAAAAATCGAAAATAAATGAACGGACAAAATACTTTGTTACGAAATAAACAACGCAGTTCGATTGAATAATTGATACAGACTTCACAAAATGTGATAAATGATCAATTAGATTCAATTTCTTCGGCCCGCAATTACGCTACGGCAGCACAATGTCCAAAACCTGCACACAGCCGCATTCATAAGCATTTATCGACTTAATTTTATGGCCGTAGGATATCGCATAAAGTGGTTTTGGGCTAAAACTACTCGACTAGTGACTTCATTACGATTCATTTTCATATGCTGGTTTATTTGATTCCCATATGTTTGAGGCCGTCTATTGCCATGTATACATTTATCCCATTTGTGCGTGAGTGTGTGCCGATGTTTATTTGTTGAGCAAGAGGAGTAGCAATCCAAGCGCAACGGCTGAGAAAACGAGCAGCGTTTGTTAGCACAAAAATAGAAAAGCACTAAAAACTTATTAATCGCAGAATTGTTTTGTCCTTTTTCAATGATGAGAAATCTCCATGAAGAAACAGTAAACACATTTTAATTGTGTGCAGAAAAGAGGAAAATATCGAAGAAAATCACTGGCGCTTACCAAGTGTTTTTTTTAATGTAAGCTCGGTTGCTGCTCACTAATAAAGCACAACGAATATGTATCTGAATTTTTGGCGCCAGCCGGTACTCAATCCATATGAGTTATGTATAGTCTGAATTATTAGAAGTGCGCAGAATTT